GGGAGGGGGGGCCGTGACGGGAGCGCGGCTGAGGGGGGGGCGGTCCCTGAAGGCCCCGGGCCCGGGGGTCACCCTCCGGCCCGCTCCGGGTCCGCCTTTCCTCAGCGAACCCCCCGCTTTGTGCTCGGCCGTGGCCGCGGGCGAGTTTTTGCCTCATTCGGCGCCGTTGTATAAATCCCCGCCCGAGGGAAAGGTGCGCTGTGCTTCTGCGAGCAGTTTTGATGGCTTGCGCTTAACTGCGATATTTGTGTTTTCAGACCCTTATCTGCATAAACCCGCCCCTGTTTGAGGTTTATCAGACGCTGTTAAGCCCCACGCAGCATCATGTGGCGCTCATCGGTACGAAGGGGCTGATGGTGCTGGAGCTGCCTAAACGCTGGGGGAAGAACTCGGAGTTTGAAGGTGGGAAATCCACGGTGAACTGTAGGTGGGTGAGACCTCAGGCAGTTAACGGCGTCCTCGTCCTGCTGTCGTTCCTCCACAGCCTCTCCTCCCTTGGGGACTCGCAGATATGGAAGACGTTGGTTGTATCGGGACTGTAGGAACAATCGCAAATGAATTTATTTTGGCTCAGGGACTTGCTGGTTGTCAAGTGACCCAAATAAATGACCTTCTAAACTTGTTGCAATTGTTGAGGAGCAAGATGTTCCTCTAGTATTTTCTAGCCTTCCTGGAGTCTTTTAGCTGTGGTAGCTAAAAGCACATGTCCGATGGAAATAACAAAGGGCTTCGAGTTAAAGCTGTTCCTCCTACTTTAAGAACAATACAGCTAATGGCTTTGAAACCTTTTAATTGGGTTCCTAGATCCTCTTGCTCCCGTTCCCTTTTAGCAGTAACTTGTTTGGTGTTTCTTGTAACTGTGTAATTCTGCTCTGTATTTCAGCACTATTCCCATTGCAGAAAGGTTCTTCACAAGTTCAACGTCTCTGACTCTAAAGCACGCTGCCTGGTATCCCTGTGAGACATTAGAGCCCCATATTGTGCTCTTGACTTCAGATAACACTATAAGGTACAACCTGTTTGTAGTTGATTATATTTTTTTTTAATAGTATTTTTTTTTGTCATAGCCAGTCTGATTTTTTGCTAGATATTTGTGTCCTGCTGTTCTTAGCAGGATTACCAATAAAAAATAGGATGAGAGAAATTTTAGACTGATACCAGCAGGAACGTGTTCAACACTGCTGGCTGAATGAACACTGCTGCTGTTTCTTTCGTCTAGGTTTTACAGCCTGAAGGTACCTCAGACACCCATCAAAGTGATTGCTCTTTCGGACACTGAGGAGGAGACTCTTACAATCAAAAAAGGGTTTGTGTGGCTTCTTGTATTCTGAAATGCTTGTGACAGAATAAGCTCGGTATTCTCAGCTGTGTTTTTAATGAATAAGGGATAAATCTATCTGAAAATCTGAATTGATTTTTTCCATGGACTTCTTCAGTGCTAGCACTTCTTCCTAGCACAGTAACTGCACTTTTTTTTTCTTGTTTTTCCCATCCTCATAAAAGAAAGTGGTAACAAACGGTACAGTCAAATGTTTGTCAGAGTAGTCATTTGAAAAACACACATTAAGATTGGGTTAAGAAGGGCTTTTTGAGTGGGAATGCAGATGATCTTCTTATTTCACGCTTGGTTGGAAAGGAGAAACTTGAGGGTCTCTACTCATCAAGTCACAGACTGATGCACTATGTGGGAAATACCAGTACGCCCCCTCTTTTATCCTGTGAAACTGGGCTGGCTGGTGGGTGTATTGCAGAAATGAAGTACCATGAGGAGGATGTTACTTGCATGCTTTTGCTGTTGAAAATAGCCCGTGTCAAAGTACTGATGGACAGGTGTTTAGCAGTAATTTATCAGCATGTACCGATGATCTTAGTTAAACATGTGTGTTCTCATTGTCACTGCTGACTTCAGGCTTTGTTCTGTCTTGTCCCCAGGAGAGCCTATACAGCATCGCTGGGAGAGACTGCAGTGGCGTTTGACTTCGGCCCGCTGGTGCCGGTCCCAAAGAACATTCTTGGGCAGCGAGGGAGTGAAGAAGTGTTGGCCTATCCGCTTTACATTTTGTATGAAAATGGAGAGACATTCCTCACATATATCAGCCTGCTACAGAGGTAGGATGGCATTCATCCTCAGGTGTCATGGGGACCTTATATGTTTATAGACTGTTAGGGTTGGAGAGCGATCTTTCAGTTTGGCTGGGACTCTGTCTGTAATGGAGGCTGGGCTGAGTTTTATTGTATTGCAGCCTGGTTTATCTTTTTTTGTGGCAGTGCTAATAGACTGAAATCCAAGAATAGTGTGCCATCCTTTTTCATCCAGATGTTGCAGGGTGCTGTTTCCACTGCTGAGAACTCACTGTCCATTGTTTCCAATCAGAAATTTGAAATGAAGACACTGGACTGTTAAAAGATCAGTGGGTCTGAGGCTGTCAGGTGTTCTGACAGGTCCTTCTGTTCACAATGCAGAGATTCAGAGCTTTGGATGAGGCTGAAAGAGCTGGTGGCATCTTAGGAAAAAAAAAAGGTGATAGAGTTTTCAGGCATGTTCCGTAATGAAAAGTCAAGAATATAAACATGATACAAGAAAAAGTTACTTCAGAAAACTGAGAAGATAGTTGAAAATTTACAAGTTAGATCTAGTGTAACTGAGTATTAAAACGTGTGGTATTTAGGTTAGAAACAGCACTGTGTGCCTCTGCATGAGAAATGATGCAGCATTGAGCAGATCCTGTCTGTAGGCAATGAAATGGGCTTAGTGCTTTGAAAGTTCTACCTAGAGAAGTGCCATGCCACAAAATGCTGCTTGTAAAGTGCTTTATAAGCAAGAAAACAATTAAGTGATAATTATCTTGAGCTCTCTGAGTCCTTTGTGTTCTTGTATGAAAATGTTCCCTCTTGAATTTTTTTGCAATCTAGCTTGCTTTCAAAGCATAAAACATTGTTATTGAGCTCCAGTTTCTTCTCTGAGATCTGCACCAAGTAGGTGTAGTTCAGACTCTTATTCCACAGACGTCTGGGTTGCTGCTATCTAACAGAAATTAGACAGCACTCCAAACTGTTGGGTTGTTTAGGGTTGGTTTGTTGTTTTTTTTTTTAAGTCATCCTTATTTTGAAGTTAGTGTGCAGCAAACTCCCACAGGCAACCATGGGAAACTCTCCTTCCACACCTTGTGTTGTGCACACATCTGCTTTATTCCAGCACTGGAAATCTTGGCAAGCTGCTTGGCCCTCTGCCCATGCACCCTGCTGCAGAAGATAACTACGGCTACGATGCCTGTGCTGTCCTGTGCCTGCCTTGTATTCCAAACATCCTGGTGATTGCCACCGAGTCGGGGATGCTTTATCACTGTGTGGTGCTGGATGGAGAAGAGGATGATGAGCAGGTACCTTATCTTGGGTTTTTTTCTATATGCGTTTTTGTTTCTTTAGTCAAAGTTCTTGGCTGCAAGATGGCAAGATGCCTGGAAGTGAATGCCAAGTGCCAAAGCCGTGTTATTTTATAATGAGGTAATGAGTCTTTCTCCTATTCCAGCCAGTCCCCATGATTCTCTGGTGATCTTATTTTACATGACAGTTCTGTGTATCCTGCTGGTAAATCAGTTTTTAATCAAATTACTATGAACTATTTGCAAGAGTCTCTTCTTAGAAGAAACACTGTTTCTGAGATTTTTTCAGTAAAAAAATAAAGGGACTTGAACTTTAAACAATTAATACACTTGCCTGTATTATATAACTCCTTCTTAATGCTGCTTAAATTGGCATTTCTATTTAAATGTTGTCTCTCAGAATAATTCAATGCTCTTTACAGTCAGAAAAGTCATGGGACCCAAGATCTGATCTCATTCCTTCCCTGTACGTGTTTGAATGTGTCGAGCTGGAACTTGCACTGAAACTGGCATCAGGAGATGAAGAAGAGCCTTTGGAGTCCGATTTCTCTTGCCCAATCAAACTGCATCGAGGTAGGGTTGTTGTTCAGGTCGTTGGCTTTTACTTGCTTTATTTCATGAATTTGGGATCAAGCTATTTACAAGTTATCATTGGTGTCCAACAAACAGTGGCATTAGAGTAAGGATTTGCCTGATGTCTTCAGTAAAGCGGTGGGAAGAGCAAGCCTGGAAGGTGCTTTCATGTTCACTCAAGGGCAGGTTACATACGGTCACATAATACTAAATCCTTTCAGCTGTGGATTATAAAGTAAAGTTATTGCATCTATGATGACCTGTGTAGAGTGCTGTGGGGGTGG